GTTAAAGACTTGAAACCTGATAATACGTTGAATGTTGATCATGGCAATGGTATTGATGTTTTGCGTAATGATGTAATGAGTGAGAGTTCTGATTCGGACAGCGATTAACTTTTGCTTTTGTGTATTATTATGCTTTATATACTCTCATATTCTAAAATTCAGATAAATTATTCTTGCTTAATCATTATCATTTGTAATAATACTCATATTTCCGCTCAATCGGAGGGGGCGAGTTTTTCGATCTGTACATTGGAGCGAGTAGGTTTTCCTATATTTATTTCCTAGTACAGATGCGAACGGACAAGAATTTCCTTTGATAATGAATAAACTTATTTGCTGTAAGAGGCAGCTGAATGTTTACTTTGGACATTTAACATCGTTGATCCTTCAACCTTTTGAAATATTGCAATCAGTCCAATACTCATATTTCCGCTCAATCGAAGGGGGCGAGTTTTTCGATCTGTACATTGGAGCAAGTAGGTTTTCCTATATTTATTTCCTAGTACAGATGCGAACGGAGAAGAATTTCCTTTGATAATGAATAAACTTATTTGCTGTAAGAGGCAGCTGATTGTTTACTTTGGACATTAGTCATCGTTGTTCTTTCAACCTTTTGAACCATTACGTCAGTCCACCATGTACAAAATTTACAAGTAATCATTATTTTTCTGATTCCAATTTAATGTGTATACTTCATCTTTTGAATATTTCATTTTTCTGAGTGTACTCAAAATTTAAATTGCATTCCCGATCTAAATCATGTGACAAATACTGTGTATAATATTTTATAATGTTTTTATGCGTATATTTTCTGAATTTCTTTTACATACTTAGGTACCTCTATTTTTGAAGTCTATTACTTTTGAAGTTTTTGATAGTATCCTCTTTTTGAATTCATTATAACTTTCTTCGAGAGCACAGACTTACATTGATTTTTGGTTCAAACTTTTGATGTTTGTTTACATATTTTTGAGTGGTTTTGAACTTTGACAGTATTTTGTAGTCTGGATAGTTACATAGATTCGTTGCGATGTATGCCTTGAGGGTCTTGTACTATCCACAGTTTCTTTAATTGAAAGTGTTTTCTTCATATGCATTTTATTTTCTTCTTGAGACTTGTCATATATGCTTTCCGCCTAGTTGCAAATCTGTGCGTATTGATAAACTCTTGAAATCTCTGGCGTATAAGTAAAACTCACTTTTGATATAGTTATTTATGTCTCAGTTCAATTCAATCAGTTCAATTTGATTTGAAGTAATTGTCAATTCCTTCTTGAGATTTTTCATATATGCTTTCAGCCTTTGTGCACATTTGTGCGTATTGCTAAGTCTTGAGCTTGGTTGCGACATTGCTTTCATGTTTTGCTATAGATTTTGAAATATCTGGTGATTTTGCTTTTGCATTATTGCATTTGTTTTGATAGTCTGCACTCATAATCTTTTTTCCGGCTTCTTATTTCTTTCAATTTCTGTCTTGACTTGAAGTAATCGCCAATTCTTATAGATTCAGTATAGTAATTCTCTTTTCATACTTTACACTGGTAAATTATTATAGTTTTTCTAATCTTGTAATATTTCATATTTGAACTTAACTTTCATTTTACAATGATATGGTTATTCTCAGTGTAGACTTTGAAGTGCGCTGATGATATCAGTGATCTACATGAAAATATTCCATAGACTATAGACATTTTGGTCTAGGGCTTTGGAATGCACCTATGGTGACCCTAGAAAGTTGTCTTTCTCTTATATTTTTGCTTTAAATCAAAATTCGAATTCTTACCTATCATATTTATTTCTATTTGTTGTTCACTAGATTGTTTTTTTTTTTATAACTCCAATTTTGCACCTACATATATCGTGGTCTTTTGCATACAATTTTTGCTTGCGGCATTACTCTCATGTATCATGATTTAATAAAATATCTTGTGATTTTCGTTTCGCTATTTTGCATTTTACATATGCTCACTTCGTTTCTCATTTATTACTCATGAAACTTTTAATATTTTGCTTACTTTTAAATTTTTTGAGAACCCTTTATAAAATCATGCTCATATAGCTTTAATATTTCCTTTCACTTTATGATTTTAACACTATTAGATTTACAGTTGCACTTGTGTTGCACTTAGTTTTTTTTGGAAATTTATTTTGCTCTTTTCTATATTGTACTTCAATTTTTTTTTTGGTCTGGTTCTTATGTTGTCACATGACCCGAAAATTTTTATTGAACTTACACTTGAATTTTAGTTAATTGATTGAACTTAAGCTATATTTTGACTTTGAAAATCTTACTTCAATATTTCATGAATGTCCCTTATATACTTTAATTCTCTGAAAATATTTTGAATTATTTTGTAGTCTTACAGACTGCTGGCGCCTGACAATTTTTTTGTGGAATCAGAACTGCACTTAGTTAACATCTTTTTTGATTAAAATACCTTCGTGATCAAGTTTTCATTGGTTTAGTACTTGTAAATTGTTTTGTTATATAACTGGAATTCTTAATAGAATTTGTTAATTTCTTTTGATTTTCATATTTTGAAAATAGTAATGCACAGTTTTTTTATATTGGATATTGGTTTAAAATATCACTGTAGATCATAATTTTTTTGGGTTTGGAGTATTGCGAGATAATCTGGCAATTGTTTTGAGAAAGATTATTATTTTTTTTAGTACCTCTTATGGTTTAGGTACTTACTTAGTTTTGAAGTTTTTAGTAGTCAGTCGTGCATTTTGGATGCCATTGTGATTCGTGCTTGGACTACTGCTGAAACTTTTGGTTTATTATTTTTCTCGTCTTAGGTATGACGATGTTTTATGTTTTGGGTTTTTCATCATATGATGATAGTTTTTTTTAAGTGCAACTTCACTGTACTTTTCAGCGAGTTGGTGCTATAACCATCCCTCTTGTTTGGTAGACTTGAGGCTATCCCTTTTTCTTCCAATTCTCTTCTAACATTTTTGTTTCTACCTTACTTTTACTACTTGTTATCTGGTCGAATGGTTGTACATTTGTCCTTCCGTGATAACTTTCAATTTCCTAGTAAAAAAAAAAATTCTTAAATGCTTCTTCGATTTTTTTTTTTTGGTTAAGTTGGGGCGAGTGTAACGGTTTCACCGTCCGATCGTATTTATTAAATCACTTCTCGATTATCATTTCATTAATCCCATCTCTAGCTTTTTTGCTTGGAAAATTTTCCGCTTGGAGCGCTTGATGCGGAGTTCCTGATCTGCGATCTTCCTCGCGCTTCCTTTTCACCTGAGCCGCCGATCGAACAACGGCTAGAAATTTCTTCTCAGTAGCACAAGGTTATATAGCACCATGTGCTAGATTTCTAGAATGTGTGTCCGTATAGGACAAAAATGATTGGGGCCACCCCCTTTCTCTTTCCCTTTCACTTTGCCTAGCCTTGGCCAATATTTTCACCCATGCATGTACCTTGGCAGCGCCATCGCCTTTAACTTCGTCTACAACTGGTTGTGAAGCCACTATATGGAGGTCACCCCTCATAACTGGGACCTCTCCTTCAAACCCCTGGCCATCCTGGCTTCAGTCGAGTCAAAATGGACCAGCAAAAGATAAGTCGATAGCGTTAAAAACTTATTTTGTTATTTTTGTAAAATTGTAATGTAATGAAAATGCCTTTTTTTTGTTAAATAAAATCTGTTAAATTTTTGTGTTCTGTTTGTTCTTCTATCCTCTAGCCATGCCATGGTCGACACACAGCTACACGCCTGTAGATGTCTTCATGCCACCGACTGAGCTACCGGAAGCTAATTGTAACCCCCTTTCTGTGATTGTGCAGAAAAGTTGGAATCTTCATTGCATTCCATCTTTTCTGGACTTTTTGCGGAAAGGAAGCGTTACATGCTCTTCGGTCGGCATTTGTGATATTGCTTTTTTTCACATATCGTGGCTTAATATTAGCTGAACCAGTTACGTTATATCTTCTAACAATATTCCTCACACTGTACCGCGATAAGTCTAACAAAGTTGCAATTTCTGAGTTTGATTTCCCAGAATTAAAAAATTTAATTATCAGTAACCGAATTTTCTCACTAATATCCTTTCCTCTACACATTTTGAAAACATTAAGTACCCAAAACTATTTTAAACGTATTTTGACAGCTGTGGTTAATAAAAACAATTGTCATGGCTTTTATTTTTCACAGCCACCTATGCGTTATAGACTTATTTTGCATTGAAATGAAAATAGGTTGATATGCTGTAATTGCAACATGTGTTATTTTTATGCTGCAAATTTGATTAGGGAGGTATAGAGTTGGTGTTTTCTACTATATATTATCAAACTATTCATTGTTAGTATTTTAAACGTATCTGCTACATTTTTATTATTTGTGTTTGATAAGAAAAAAACTAAGATTTCAATAGTTGGGCCAACTGAAGTGGGAAGGGGCTCGTAGAATGTGGTCCTTTTGAAAATAGGTAAGTCTTCATCACTATTAACCTCCTGTAATACTTTTTTTATGGTGGGAAGTTGCTGCCTTTCAAAAAATTGACGGACGTTGCGTTTGATGGCATTCCAATCAAAGTTATCAACTGTATATATTCAAATGTCCTTTCTTGTCACGTTTTCGGTGAGAGACATCATTGGAGAGGAAGCATGGCTGAAGGAAGCGTTATAAGAAATATTGTCAGTTTCATCTGCTGTGTCCTTAGACGTATAAGCACGCTATGTATGCACCGAATATGAACAGAAACTGCCGACGTCGGCGTGCCTGAGTTCTATCCTGTCGGATCCTGCATTTGTTCGTAGTTTTATGGCTGATTGACCGATAGCTATTGTAACGCTTAGACGGCTGTCGTTTTGCTGCGCTGCATCTTTGTTGGACTACGAATAGGGTATAGAATAGGCAGCAGCGGTGGCCGCAGTAGTAGACTCTTCGGTCTCCTGATCAGTCGCCGTGCGCTGTGCGGGTTCGAGTCCCGTCCCAGGAGAAATTTTTCTCTTGGCTATGGATGTTGTGATTGTCCGTAGGTCGTAGACCGTCTCTGACTGTCGAACGTGGAGGTACCACCCGGCGGATCTCGTAGGCGGAGCCAGAATGTGTGCATGTTGCATGGACACGTGTTCCCTCGCCAGAGTCCGTGTGGCGTTCCCCCTTTCCCCTGCATCCCCCATAGCCCCACGGTACTCAATGGGTGTTTAGGCCTTAGGCCTTCGTGGTAGTTGGAGTATAAAAAAAAATCGTCAATGTCTTAATTCTCCGCTTGGCCCAATTCTCAAAAAAGTTGAGCAATCTTGTTTTAAATGTCTTTTGCCGACAAAGTTTCTTAAGGACGAAACAATGTCGTCTACAATTGACGGCTTTATTACCCGGAGGCGCCTTCGAGTTGCGGGTATAACTGCTTCTGTCATCAATGTGTGTCTCGGCAATGAAGTTGCCTTGCCGTGAACGGCACAACATACGTGAAATACCCACCTCATATGCAAAGTGATTCAAATACTCGGCAACACCCGCCACTTCATTTAATGGCCGATTTGGCTCGCTGGATATTGCGAGCGTAAAGCGACGCACCGACGCGCCGCGTTACAAAACGTCGCGGCGCCTTTCATAAAATATTCATCCGGAGCGATGACGATAAACTTTTATTAAGCGCATCTGCGGAATGTACTACAAACATTAAAATGGTCGTACTATCCGTGGTGTCTAGTGGTGGAGGGATCAACAGCTTCATATGAATCAGTGACGTTTACAAGGGGGGATCCCAGGAGGCCTGAGTGAATTGTACAAAATATTTATCGCGTTCTGGGCGTACTTTTACTGAAGTATTTATCTCAACATTGGCAAAGCAGCATGTAAGTTACATGTTTAAAGTTTGGGAATTTGGACGCTTTGGAACTGAAGGATAATAATAATAATAATAATAATAATAATAATAATAATAATAATAATAATAATAATAATTCCAAATTGTACAATGACATTACAAAAATTGTATAGCCACTACAAAATGAAATGTTGCGTCACTGTCACCATAACTATAGTAGTTTACCTGAGACCTTTTTTTTGTGTTACATGGTTATTTATCATAAAACAGCTACTATCTTATACTATTACAACTCCCAGAGAACTCATCTATTGTATAAGGCTCTGACTGTACTAGAAATCGCTTAATAGTCTTTTTAAATTTATGTAAACTGTTTATGTTTTTAATTTCATTTGGTAGATTGTTAAACAAATTTAAACACATGTATATAGGGCTTTTTTCTGTGGAGGATAATCTGTGTATTGGATAAGTAACATTGACTGTTCGAGTATCATAAACAGTTTGCACCTCAAGCTCAAATAAATTTTTATTTTTGAAAAAAAATATAAGACACTCATACACATAGATGGCATACACAGTCATGATTTTTTTCAGTTTTAAACACCCCCCTGCAAGTTTCATTGAAATTTAGTCCCTTTAGCAGACGTACTGCTCTTTTTTGAACAACAAAAATTTTTTGAATAAACCTATTGCGTCCCCAAAAAATAATCCCATACTTTAGAACACTTTCTAAATTAGCATGGTACAATATTTTCATACTTGTATCATTTAGATATCTTGATATCACCCTAAAACCATAGCAAATGGAATTGAGCCTCTTCAGCAGTTCGAATACATGTGTTGTAAAATCTAAAAATTCATCAATATAGATGCCTAAGAATTTTACACTTTCACTCAACTGCAATTGATGATCATCTATATCGATATATTGTGGCTTAGCGACTTTACTCTGCTTAGTTCTAAATAATGTTGCATCAGTTTTGGATGTATTCAGCACTAGTTTGTTCTCAGAAAACCATGTATTCACACTTCTGAATAAGAGATTCCCATTAGCAGTTAGGTCCTCTACACTTGTCCCACCCAAAACTAAATTTGTGTCATCAGCATAGCAGATAATTTTATTCTTGCTATGATCACCGCTAGTAACAAAACAGAGATCGTTTAAAAAAACTACAAACAAAATGGGCCCAAGTATACTACCCTGTGCTATGCCGGTTGAAGTCAACTCAATGTTTGACTTGTAAGTTTGACCTCCTATAACAATTTCAACCCTCTGTTGTCTATTATAGAGGTATGACTTGAACAATTCTAGCGCAGTTCCTCTTACACCATATCTTTGTAGCTTTAATAACAATATGTCTCTGTTGATGCAATCATAAGCTTTGGACAAGTCCAGGTAGAAACCAACCGCTAAGTTTCCCTCCTCTAATTGCTTAAGTACTGTTTAAACAAATTGAAAGATTGCAGTATCTGTTGATCGTCCATGTAGGTAACCATCATCACATCAGTGTATTAAATAAATTACAGTCATTCATGAATTCTAATAATCTCTTACTGATGCCTAACTCAAATAATTTTGAAAAACCTGTTAAAATATTGATTGGCCTATAATTTTCCAATTGCTCTGGATTACCTTTTTTAAAAATTGGTTTTATAACAGCTATTTTCAAATTCTCTGGGAATGATCCTTGTCTAAAAGCATTATTAATAAGTAAGCACAAAACATGTTTTAAAACTGGAATGGAAAGTTTTACTATTGTTGTTGGAAGATCATCTATACCACAGCTGAATTTATTTTTTATCTTCCTCGACAGTTCACACACTTCATCAACAGTCATTGGTCTTAAGTATAATGATTGGTTGTTTTCTTGTAAATTGCAGTCAAAAGGTACCTGTGTCACATCTCTGCTTTGCTTAACAACCGTAGAACCCAAGGTATGTGGGACACTTTCGCTCAACGAGTCCTAAGCGAAACGGCTGACAATACTGCTGAAAAGAAGGTATACTGTGACCCCTCAAAGCCCTGGATCAACTCTAACATATCAAGGAGGCTTCGTCACAAGAGATCTTTGTGGCAACGGTTTAGGAGGAGTGGCCATTCACAAGATTACGTGTCTCATCGATCCTTTTCTAACCTCCTATCTAGAACGTTACATAATGCCAAACATGCTTATGAACGAAAACTCGTTACCTCCAAAAATAAGAAGAAGCTGTTTCGGTATCTAAGAACAAACCTGAATTCCAAAGTTTCATCACCTCAGATCCGCGACGCTGACGGTCATCTCCACATGGATGCCACCGAATCTGCCCACTTACTGGCAGAGTCCTTTAGTGATGACTTCGTCGATGAGCCTAATGGAGACCTTCTACCGACCACTATCTGCCATAGGTGTCCCAACAGCCTTTGCGAAGTTGAGTTCCTGCCTGAAGATGTATTAATGCACCTGCGAAATCTGAAGACCTCTTCCTCCCCTGGTAAAGATGAGATGACGGCTGCTGTACTTAAAAACTGCGCTTCAGCACTGGCCCTACCATTAAGCTTGATATTCACATCGTCTTTTAGATCTCATACCCTACCCTCATGCTGGCTTAGTGCTTCTATTACCCCTGTATCCAAAAAGGGCGACAAATCCTCCGCTAAAAATTATCGACCAATAAGTCTCGTACCTATCGCCTCCAAAATAGCTGAAAGAATCATATTAGATAAGCTCCTGTCATTTGCTTTCGAAAATGACCTTATTCCTAAGAATCAGCATGGATTTCTCCCTGGTCGATAAATAATGACCAACCTTCTCCACTCTCTCAACGATTGGACCCAGTATCTGGACACAAAGACTCCTGTTGATATAATCTACTTAGATTTTTCTAGGGCTTTCGATCGCGTACCACATAGAAGGCTTCTGTTTAAGTTGGAATGTATGGGAATAAGAGGCGAGTTATTACTGTGGATTAAAGCTTTTCTCACCGGGAGGACTTTCTCTGTGCGCGTCAGTGATAGCCAGTCTCACCTTCATCATGTAGCAAGTGGAGTTCCTCAAGGCTCTGTCTTGGGGCCAGTGCTGTTCCTTCTGTATACAAGTGTCCTGCTCGCATTGATTTCCTCCACATGTTCAGCTTATGCCGACGACACCAAGATTTACAATACTGTCGTAAATTCTGCTATGCTTCAACGAGATCTTGATATTGTTTGTCAATGGTCAGTCAGTTGGCTTTTACCCTTAAATCTAACCAAGTGTTGTGTCCTTCACCTCGGGAAGACAAATCCGCGATTTACATACAAGATCTCTGACCACAACATCGAAGCAGTTTTCAGCCACACTGATCTGGACGTTGTAGTCAACGATCGTCTTTCCTGGTCAGAGCATATTCACCACGTGACATCAAAAGCCAAGAAACTTCTATACATGCTGGAGAGGTCTTCCAAAGGATCCGATATCAACACTTGCGCCTACATTTACAAGGCATTCGTGAGACCAATTCTTGCATTCGCTGTCCCGGTATGGGACACTGTGCTTCTGCGCGATAGAAATCTCGTCGAATCAGTACAGCGTCGGGCTACTCGTATCCCTTTTGGAGCACGAAGACCAAGCTATGAAGATCACCTTGAATGATTCAACCTGACCTCATTCTCTGAGCGAAGACTTCGTGGCGATCTTATAGTAACGTTCAGGATACTTCATGGTTTGATGGGCACCAACCTCATGCATCTATACCGTCTGTCGCGCAGCAATCTACTCGGACACAGCTTCAAACTGTATAAGGAGCCATTTAAAACAACAGTCCGACAGTGGTTTCTTCCCAACCGCATATTCAACACCTGGAATAGTTTACCTGAAAGTGTGGTTGGTGCTACTTCAGTTTATAGCTTCAAAGTGCAGTATGATAGCTGGAGGAGTGTACAAACTTTATAACTATGAACTGTCTTTTTTTATTTTGTTCTATTTGATGTATTTGTGTTACGTGTCCGTACACTATATTTACTGTATGAGCTTCTGGTACTGTGTACTCTGCTCATCTCAATTATCATAATAATAATAATAATAATAATAATAATAATAATAATAATAATAATAATAATAAAAGCGGAATTGCTGATAACAAATATTCATTATACTGCTGTGGTATCAGATTTGGATCTCCTTTGATATGAATGTCTTTATGATTGTTTTGACCTGTGATTTCATGACATATCGCCCACATAGATTTACTTTTATTGTCCGAATTTCTTATTTTCTGATCGTATCTTTCTGATTTGGACTTCTGCAACAAATGTTCATATTCTTTTTTTGTGTTGTACATTTCCTTATAATCACCATCTACT